TGCCTGAGTCCATGGGTTCAAGACCAGCCTGGGCAACTTGGTGAGACCTCGTCTCTACAATAAATAAAAAAATTAGCTGGGTGTGGTGGCATACGTCTGTAGTTGCAGCTGCTTGGAAGGCTGAGGCAGAAGGATCACCTGAGCCCAGCGGGTGGAGGTTGCGGTGGCCGTGAGCATGCCACTGCTCTCCAGTCTGGGGGACAGAGCAAGACTCTGACTCAAAAAAAAGGAAGGAGCAAGGGAGGAAAAGGAATCTGAAAGAGGCCATGGACTAGCAGGCCGGGGGAGGCTTAGGGGGAGGCAGGAGACAGCTCCCGGAAGGATGTGAGTTTAAATGTACAGGAGCTCTTAGAGCTTTCTGTTCTCCCTACCAGGACTCTTATATCCTGGATGTGAACATAGCTGGCTCCTTCTCCTTCATCAGTTTGTCTTCAATATTACCTTTTTAGAGAAGTTTTCCCAGTCCCTTCAAAACTGGTTTCTTATTGACCCTGTTTTATATTAGCTTTCACACCAGTCTGCCTGCAGGGTGTGTGTGAATGTGATGGGTGTAGAAATGTGATGGGTATAGAAATGTTCTGAGCGCTAAGGCACTGAACATCCAGAGCTTGTGTACAACAGTGTTCCTGCATATAAATATAACTTCACTGAAGTTGTGACCACATGGATCTGTTTCAGCTGGATTGGTGTTGGACTCAAAGAAGCATTGAGTCCAACAACCATGAGTAATTTCAAAATAGCTCAAGTTTTTTTTTTTTTGAGTTGGAGTCTCACTCTGTTGCCCAGACTGGAGTGCAGTGGCACGCCCTGTTGGGCTCCGGCGATCCTTCCGCCTCAGCCTTCCGAGTAGCTGGAACTACACGCGCGTGCTACCACGCCCGGCTCATTTTTGATTTATTGTAGAGATGAGGTCTCGCCAAGTTGCCCAGGTGGGTCTTGAACCCGCGGGCTCAGGCAATCCACTCGCCTCGGCCTCCAAAAGTGCTGGGATTACAGGCTGAGCCACCGAGCCCGGTCGTTTAAGTCAAGAGTCTCACTCTGTTGCCCAGGCTGGAGCGCAGTGGCATGATCACAGCTCACCACAGCCTCAATCTCCTGGGCTCAGGTGATCCTTCTGCCTCAGTCTCCCTAGTAGCTGGGGCTAAAGGCATGCACCACCACACCCAGTTAATTTTTTGATTTTTTTGTAGAGACAAAGTATCGCTGTGTTGCCCAGGCTGGTCTTGAATTCCCCGGCCTCATGCCATCCTACTTGCTTGGCCTCCCAAAGTGCTGGGATTACAGGCAAGAGCCACTGCACCTAGCCTAAATAACCCAAGTTCATTATCTGTGTTTCTTTGCAAAGGAATACAAATCCACAATAAAACATTTAAAATTTCCCCATAGGTTCCCCAAATCTTCCCCCGTCCATTACTTTAATCCACATATGCATCTATGGTACACTTTTTTCTCTGGGATTCCCTTAGAAGCTCCTCTCCTTCTTTGGCCGTATCCACACCCCTTGTTTCTGGGGAGTCTCTTTTGCCCCCTTTCTTTCTTGGTGGAGAACCTGACCCTCTCCCTTTTCCTGATTCTGTACCAGGAAAGCCTCCCAAAGTATGTGTATTCCAGACGCACCTGGGGCCAGGGGTGGATGAAGTCAGACATGGTACTGCTGCTGAGGAACTCTGAACTGACAAGCCAAACCTCCTAGGGGGAAGGCTGGGAACACACATGGCCATGATGGTCCTGTCATAATTCGGGTCTCGTGTCACTGCTGAGAAGTGCGTGAAGTCCTGTCTCAATCTGGTAGAGGAAATCTGGTATTAAATAGACTTGCTAACGTTTAATTCTTTTTTTTGAGTTTGAGTCTTACTCTGTCACCCAGACTGGAGTGCAATGGCCGCTCCCGGCCACCGCAGCCTCAACCTGCTGGGCTCCGGCGATCCTTCTGCCTCAACCTTCCAAGTAGCTGGAACTACAGGCGCGTGCTACCACGCCCAGCTAATTTTTGATTTATTGTAGAGATGAGGTCTCATCAAGTTGCCCAGGCGGGTCTCAAACCCGCGGACTCAGGCAATCCACTCACCTCAGCCTCCCAAAGGCGCAGGATTACAGGCTGAGCCACCGGGCCCGGCCTATTCCTAAGTTCTAAGTAAAGACAATCTAGGCAGAGGAACCAGCTTGAGAACAAGAACCCAGGAGAACCTGGGTCATGGGGGGTCGGGACACACGTGATTCTTCCACGCTGGAGTGTAGGGTTCTCAGGGAAGTGCCAGGGGACTCCTGAGCCTGGCAGACAGCTCACCCTCACCCAGAAGGTGATGGGGGCTGTGGAAGGACTATCACTGGACAGTGAGTATCAGATACACATTTCAGAGAGATTGTGCTGGCCACAAGTGGAGAAGGGGTGGGAGAGGGTTAAACAGAAAGCCTGTGTCAGTAAGCCTGCCACAGTGAAGGACTCCCCATAATACTCTGGCATAGGCCATCTTAGTAAGTGTCAGGATCTTTACATATGTTAGCTCATTAAAGCTCCCAAAAAGGTAGCTAGTACCCCGGTTTACAGAGGAGGAAACTGTGGAGGTCAGAAATGGCAGCACCGGCTGAAGCAGTAGCGGCTTGGGGTGGTTCCTGATTCTTGGGTGCAGGGCGGAGTGGATGAGATGAGAACTGGCAAGAAGGATGCACAGGTGGCCCCTCGGGTCAGACGCCGGCCAGGACCCATGCCCGCTGCGGCTGGTGGATGGTCCCACGCCCCCCCCTTCCCGCCAGGTTCCGGCAGCTGGTGGCCCAGCACGAGCCCGAGGTGCAGGAGGTGTCCCAGCTCTTCCGCTCGGTGCTGCAGGAGGTCCTGGAGAGGATGAAGCAGGAGGAGGAGGCCCACAAACTGACGCGCCAGTGGAGCCTGCGGCCCCGCACCGGCCTGGCCCCCTTCAAGACCCGCGCGCGCATCTCCCCCTTCGCCAGCGACATCCGGACCATCTCCGAGGACGTGGAGCGGGACACGCTGCCGCCGCCCCGGGCCTGGAGCATGCCCGAGTTCCGCGTGCCCAAAGCCGAATGACCCTGCCACGACCCTGCCCAGGAGCCGAGCCGCCTGCAGGAGGGCCTGGC